ACCTTGCAAGCCCGACGCCCAATGTCAAAACCCACAATTTGAGCATGGTTTTTAATGTTGTTCAATGAAACGCAATAGTGGGGCGAGGGGGCACCCCTAGCGAAGCGAGCGATTTAACTGAAATCGTAGCGAGATATGACATTCACCATGACAGATGCAGTCGATTGCGAATATAGGGCGATTGCCCAGTTACAGAACGCCTCCCCGAACCCTATCCATCTGAGGGTGGTTAGTACATATGACCAATTTACCCAGTCATACGCCTTCTCCATGTCAAAAAGTAGGACTGCTACATCCATCTATTCCTTGCTCACCACTTCAAGCATCTCCACGACCGTCACAATGTTGTCGTAGATAGAGCGACCCCTCACAAATGCTGCCTGATCATCCTCCACGAGTAGTGGCAGGTATCTCCCCAATCTTTGGGCCAGCACTTTGGCCAAGATCTTGTAAGACACATTGAGAAGTAAAATTGGTCTCCAATTCCGGATCTCATTTGTGTCCCCCTTTTTAAACAAGATGGAGATGATCCCCCTGCATGCACTAACTGGCAGCCTTCCCCCCAACTACATCTCATTATAGATCTTAGTCAGGTCGTCCAAAAACACTTCCCAATCCTCCTTATAAAACTCCAACGGGGAACCATAATTCCCAGCCTGAGGGGTTTTCCCACAGTTTACTCTGAGTGTTTCTCCCGCTTCTTTCGTAATGGGTCGATCCAGGTCCAGTCGTCCTTGTTTGGAGAGTCAGACTGTCGTGTTCTCCCAGTGGGTGGATCCATGCGGGAGGTCCTCGCCTGCCCCTTCCCCTGACCTTCGTGATGTCATGATATCTCGGTAGTATGACACTGTATATCTGCATATATCCTTTGGTTGGGTCGCCATTGGTTCTCCGCTAGAAAGGGGTGCTTCAGCTCCTTCATCGTTGGACCCGACCTCGCTGGCACAAGCTTCTGAAAAGTGTCCTTTGACATCCTGTCATATACTTCCAACCCTTTGATTTTAGTTCTTTCCGCCCACAGTTCAGATTTCTCTTGTTGTTTTTTATCCCAGGCAACCAATCTTTTCGCTTTCTCTTTTCCCCAAGTCAACTCCGAAATCGGATGTTGCTTCATCTTGTCCTTTGCCTGTTTAACTCTCCTCCAACATCTTTTCTCTTCTTTGTTCCTGTTCTGGGCTAGGATCCGGGAGAAGACGTTCAGTAGGTTGGACTTCCCACCAATCTGCCAGCGTGGCGAATCTCTCCTTTTGGTTCTCCCATCTTTTCCAGTACTCCTGTGTCCATTCGTTGAGCTTCTTGTCGCGGAGGTTCGTTACATTTAACTTAAAATAACCTTTTCCCCTAAGATTCTCTGGGTCAAAGTTGAAGACCCCGATGATTGGCTTATGATCTGAGATTTGGTTGATCCCCTCTGAGACACTGATTACCCTCTCTCTAGTGTTTCCGCCTATGAGCAGATAATCCAATGTCCTTCCCTTCCCCTGGTGTGAGAACCACGTGTAGCCCTCCTCCGCAGGGTGCAAATCCCTGTAGGCGTCGTGCAGATCCAGGTCTGTCATTAAGTCCACCAGAGCTAGGACATCTTTCAGACACCCATTTGCAGCTTGATTTGGCGGTGAGTAGAGGACCATATTCCAATTGCTTCCAATTACAATCTCATCTACATCCGGGAGTGAGACTCTCAGATCCTTGAGGAAAAGGCACCTCTCTTTCCGTTCTACCGGGGCATATACGGTTGCCACCGCCCATCTAAAGTCCCCTTGGACCAAGACCACCCATGCCCACCTGCCCCACAAATCCGCATAGTAATCCTCAATAGTTGCCTCCAAGTTACGATGGACTAGGATTGTTCTCCTTGCTGCTGCCCAAATTTGAGGACCAACTCCTCAATTTTCTCGTTATTTAACTTCGTCTCTTGGAAGCAGGCTACCGAGATCTTGTTTTCATGCATCCAGGTTTTTACCCTCGCCCGCTTACTCCTCCCTGACGTATCACCGAAGCCCTGTAAGTTCCACGTGGCGATCCTAACATTCACCATTGCCGTTACTTGTCCCCTAACGCAATTGGATGTGGGCTTGGAACTGTCTCGTCTCCCATCCAGTTACTTGTAAGCTCTCGATCTCCAATGTTGTCGACATCTCTGAGACTGCATGGCCAAAGATCGTCCATGGCTCCACTCTATTCTGCCATGTAACAACCCATTGCATGTTACAAAGGGTTGTGCACACGAGTGCCACCATGTACTGTGTCAGGTCTGTGTTTTGACCCTTCATCGATGCGAGGCAGCGATCCCTCGTCGTTTTCTGTCCTGGGGTCGCAAGGCCCCCCTCCTGGGTTACGGATTTCTCCGACCCACTTCTCGAAAGTCTTGATGCGCCGGATGGTTCCGGGGTGAGTGGGACCTGTGAAGCTGTGCTCAGGCGATGTTGCTTCCCCGGTGTGCGGGACTTTGATCCTCCTTGTGTTTCTTCCACTTCTCGAATGTCTTGCCTCCTTCCTTCCGCCTCTCCAGTTTGTCTTCCTCCGAATACTAGGGGCCGTGGATGGATTGGTACACGTGTACCTGCTTGCTGCTGCAGGTTTCCTTGCGAGTTCGACGCCCCCGAGGCCTCTGCCCTTGGCTGCCCAATCCTGAATCCTTGCTGATTAAGTATTGGAGTTGTGTTTTGTCCCCCAAGCATTCCTGGCCACCACGCTGGATGTATCCCGTTTGCAAGTAGCCATTCCGCCGTGGCCCGGCCTTGCCATGTCATCGGTTGAGCTCCTTGTGGATGTGGTACTCCCATATTGCCCGAGCCGTCGCCATTACTCATTCCTCCCGGTAGCTGTCCGGTCTGTCCAGTCTGCAATCCTACCAGACCGGCTTACCCGCCATGCCTACGGGGGGAGCGTTTCCTTCCATCAAGCCGACATGCATTCCGTTCTGCATTCCGCTTCCATATTGCTGGCCTCCTCTCGTACCTTGAGGGGAGAAGGTCGGTTTGACACGAAATTGCCCTGGTGGGCCGTTCCTCCTGGTTGTCGTGACGTAGCCGGTCGCGGACCCATAGGGCCGTGGTAGCTTGGTCCTGGATCACCCCCATTAGAGGAGGCCGCCAGAGTTTGCTGCCGTGATTGGTTTTGTCCTGATTGGGCTGTCCCACTTCCCCGGAGGCGTGTTCCCCCTCCCCGTCTGCAGTCCTGTATGAAAGAATTGTCTACATTTTCTACACTTAAAGGTCTCCGAACATGCCAGCTTAATCTCTAACACATCGCCTCTTGCGGTTTCCACCCATAAGACAGCCTTCATGTTGGGACGGGCTTCAAGCTCCAGGTCGAACCTCGCGTTGACTAATGCTGGTCTGGATGGGTCCGCATTGTTGGATGCGTCAAGATTATCTTCCCGATGGCCTTTTCGATCTATGCATAAATAAATGGCATATCATATATTAACGGGACCTGCAGGGCCATAACCCAGAACGTCCTATCTTCCTCCTTCCTTATTAGTTCCCTGAACTCTGCCCTGGTCATCCAGGGTTTGAAAATAACTTTGTACGTCTCTGCTCCAAGTGTCACCTCCACTTGCCCTTCTGCCTTCATATAATCCGCCACCTCCCTCGCCTTGAAGTTCGCTATGTAGGAGGCTACTCCTGGGCCCTCGATCTTCAACCTACCCCTCCGAGTGTTTTTCTGCAGATCCGCATTACCAATTATCCACCCATCTTCGAAAGTGCGAACCAAGTCATCTTTGATGTTCTTGGCCAGAAACCTAGCCGCCTCCTTAAAAATCACTGTCCCCGTGCACTCTTTAAGGCATTTAACCTTAATCTCATCTAGTGACGTGTTCAATTTAAAACCTACTTCCCTGCCTTCAACCACCATCTCCCCCTGGTCAATCTCCGTGGGATAAACACCTTCGTCAAAACACATTGTCAGCAAACTTCTGATTCCATCCTCGTCCTCCCAGTAGTCTCTCTCTTCTTGTGGCCCTGGTGGTGGGGATCTCCCCGTCCCCTCTTGCCCTGGGGTGCACTCCATCAAGTCTGACCTTCCCTAATTGAACTCTGATTCCCAACTTCTTTACTCAGTCTGGGACTCCCTTAGCTTCGAACCTTACTTATCCTCGTATTCTTCGTCTGCCTGCTAATCCTCCTGGGTTGGGGCAATGCCACCTCCGCCCAAGCATCCACACCTATGGCTAGTCAATTGCCATATCCCCCCTGCAAAGAGGGCGAGTGGTGGGATGGCTCCAAGACAATATCAAGGGTGGTATCGTCTCGAATGGCGGCTCGGATTCTGCCGAACCCGGTTCACGCGTAGTGGAGCACATCGCGCCCATAACGCAAGGTTCGCGAGGCCCCACCCAGAGCTGATGTCGCCTCCCGCTTTTTTTTTTTTTTTTTTTTTTCAAAGGCTAATTCTTTGAAGCCTAACCAATTCAATTACCTGTCAAATCTGGACAGGACGGCCTTTCAGGCCTTTTTTATTGTCATTATAGTATTCCGGGGAACCCCGTAGCAGACACATCCGTGCTCAAGCCTCCAACGAGGGAACATGCGGGAGCTGCACCCACCAGCAAATGCGATACCTGCTACAGCAGGTGGGCGATACCGGCCAGGGGTCAGCCGGTAGCATCAGGACCGAGCTTCGATGGGCCAGTCACTGTGCCTCCCCTCCCCCTATGAACATCAGCAGTCTCTGCTCAATGCCACTCGGGGGGACCAACGGCATATCTCTAGGTGGCAGGCGCCAAGCTTGCCCAGGAAGGTGCATGAGGCCAATGGGGATTGAACCCAAGACCTCCTGACTGCCACTTGCGTGCCTTACCAACTGAGCTAGGCCGCTGAATCCTCCCGCTTTTTCAATCTTGTGAGTTGGTTTTTTTATTTTATTTTTTAATTTTTTTATTTTTTAATCTTTTGAGTTTCGTTCTTTGGAATCTTTGCCAAAAAAGAAGAAAAAAAGAAGAAAAAAAAAAGGTTTCGTTCTTTGCAAAGAAACGGGAGTTTTGTGAGATCCTGGTGAGTATTTGAGGAAGAAGAGGTTTAGCCGTGGTGAAGAAGAGAGTTGCCGGGAATATGGTAAGAGCATACTCACACTATCACTGTTTTACTTATTTCTGGATGGAGTTGCGGCCAGATGCATACAAGCGGGGCCGTAAATGCCGCCAGCGGCGCCAGGTGCATTTTAGATAGTGGTAGTGTGAGTACGCCCTAAGAGTATTACTCGTGCACCTAACTCTGGGATTGTCGTTCTACTTTTTTCTGCTGCTACAGGTCTACTAGGGCCTCGGTTGTGGAGTTCATGATCCTCCGGAGTCCTCTGTGGACGTATTCGGATGAGATACATGTACTAGGAAGGCGGAAGGCTGTGAGAGTTGGAGAAGAAGTCGGAGGCGCAGTTGCGGTCGGTGTTGCATTCGCCCTCGATCCCATTTCTGTGTGTGTGTGTGTGTGTGGGTGTCTGTTCGGACTTCGAAGAGGCGATCATGGCAGAAGTTGAGTGTCCCCCCTCTCCATCATCGGAGGCGAAGATGGAAGATGCAGATGTACCTACTGGCACGAAGAAGAAAAGGGTGTTATTCGTTTGTGGGCACAATGCAGGTCGATCTATTGCGGCAGAAGCCATAGCCAGAAAGAACAGATTGGACATCCAGGTGGCAAGCGCTGGCACTGCCCCTTCTGGCAAGGTCAATCAGGCGGTCTTGGACGCCCTCCAGGCAGCAGGTGTCCCCACTGAGGACCTTCGTTCTAAGGTAAGCGCGTGCGAGTGTGTGTGTGTGTGTGTGTGTGTGTGTGTGTGTGTGTGTGTGTG